CTTGGATATGAAAAACTCCAGTTCCATGTGTCAGAGATCTTGTTTGGAATGACCTTTGGATGCTTTATTGGTTGGTTTTAATCAATTGACGCATGATTTGTTGAGTCAATTGGATCTTGATCACATTCGATAGATAGAGTCTGATTAGGTTAAGAGAGCTTCTTCAGTTGCTAGTAGTGAATCGATTGTACAAGAGTCATTCAATTCACTTCTTTGTACGGGAATTCATTCAAGTAATGGAGATCTTTGTGTATTGCCTTAGTATTTTATTCCAGTGAAGGTTAGTCGCCCGGAGGGTATTTTGACTAAGAGGGCTTGGTCGGCTTAAGAGATTTCAAGCTATTATCGGATATTCCGTAGGTTAATCAGCAGTAAAATTACCAAAGGAAATTACAATATGGACCTAATTTAGGAGCTAGGGGGCGCATACCTGAGTGACTCTTCCTGCTTTCAAAAGCCGAACAATTTATTTGATTTCCTTTTTACTTTCCTTTTTGCATCTCCACCACAATTTAACTGCTCGATAATAGACATTCAGGAAGTAGACAATATACCTAGGACCCGGGTCGATAATTTGAACCGAACCCACTTTAGTGCAGTCTTCCATAGTGGTTATACTGGGCCATTATGGAAGTGTTGTGTTTTGTTAGTCAGCAGACTCTCAAGAGTATAGGAGGATTCTAGGCTCCAAGGAAGGACGAATTTCCCTTGGTGTTCTTCCAAAAGTGTTGGAGTAATGTAGCTTCTTCCTCAGTTCAATTTGTGTGAGACTACTTGGAGGACCCAAGTTGAATCTCTCTATTGAACGCTACCCTCCTCTGTTTGATTCCAAAAAAGAGATTCAGGAACCCATCACGCAATTCTGGCCAATTGCCTTGTGCAATGTGGTTTATAAGACATTTTCCAAAGTCCTTGTGAACTGCATAACGACGCTTATGAGGATCTTAATCCACTCAACCCAAACGAGCTTCATTCCTGGTCGTCACATAATAGATAATATCATTATTCTACAAGATGTTATCCACTCTATGGGTCTAGATGGCATTAAAGATCGACTTAGCAAAGGCCTACGACCGACTAAGCTGAGATTTTCTCGGGGAGACGCTGGAGGAAGTTGGACTCCCAATAAATCTTGTAGATGGTTATAATGTTGTGTGTGACATCCACCTCTATGCATGTATTCTGGAATGGGGTCTTGACTAAGGAATTCACTCCATCTCGATGCCTGTGCCAGGGATGCCCGCTTTCACCATACATGTTTACCCTGTGCATGGAACACCCCTAGACAGCTTTGCGCTTCAATTGCTCGTGATCTGGAGATGCCTATGACGCAGGATCTTGTTCGGTACCTAGGAGTCCATGTCCTGCATGACATGTTAACTAAGATAACTAACCAAGTTATTCTTGATCGTCTGGAAAATAAACTTTAGGATGGAAATTGCAAACCTTCCGTTTTGGTGGTTTTGGTGGTCGAGCTACCTTTGCTATCTCAGTGTTGAATTCTCTACCAACCTACATGATGCAAACCACTATGCTCTCCAAAATCCATGTGTGACTCTATCTATCGCAAAATCCAAAGTTTCATATGGGGAGCCTCGGAAGGAGTGCAGAAGGTTCACCTGGTGCATTGGGAGGCAATTTGTCGACCAAAGAAGGATGGTGGATTGGGTCTCTGCAGTGCCCATGAACTCAGCCTCGCATTCCTTGCTAAGGTAGCATGCTCTTTTGTTTAAAAACCGGATTAGTTGTGCGTTCATGCAGCAGGTGGCTTGATTAGAGATCATACGAGATGCTGCCACACAACATTTGCCAGTGACTTGGAGATTTGTTCTATCACCCGAGCAGAACTGGGAGGCGCTGCAGAAAGTCCTCAGATGGTATGAGAGAGCGGCTAGTGATGAGTTCGTGTGGAGCTCGATTCTTAGTGTGCGAGCCAGCTCTTTTAAAGCTCGACACATATGGATAATCACCATGTTGCTATCATTGACCTCTTTCAAGATTTACTTGCCCGTGATTGGGAAGTTTCTTGCTACCACATTTATAGAGAGGGGAATAAGTGTGTTGATTTCTTAGCTAGACGTGGTCACTCCCTTCCTTTGGGGTTTCACCTTGTTCCAGTGTCGGATCCCGTTTTAGACTATTTTATCTAGTATGGCTGTCAAGGTCTTTATGTGTCTCGTCTTGTTGTGAATGAAAGTTGAGATGCAGTGTATCCATTTATAAAATAAAAAATATTAGATTAAGAATTCTACATAACTTCTATAGATCTAGTACTACAATTCAATATGTAGTATTCGAACCAATGATGTTTGAGTTGTGATTTTAAAATTATCCTCCTTTTATAAGATATACATAAATTAAATTAAATATTAAACTCAAATTAAAATAATTCAAATATAAAAATCAAAATATCAAATACCAAAAAATACTAATGGGAGAGTTAGCGGGCTAGCTAATCGTATAGAAAAAGTCTTATGATTCTCAAATTTTATATTTTTTATATTTTTAATTTATAAATATTCAAAAAAATTATTTAGTGTAATTGATAATGATTCTTGTCGTTCTCTACATCGACCATGCTTCCAATTCTTAGGCTGGTGTATTTTTTTCTATGAATAAGAAATAAATAAGTAACTGTGAAGACTAACCTTCCTACTTTCGAACTTGTTGTAGAAAATTTAAAATGATGAAAAATTGCGTTCAACTCTACTGTTGGTTTTAGAAATGATAAACACGCCAAAAGTAAATAAAAAAAATAGTTTGAAGACCAAAATAGTAAACACGGCATAGGTGGGTAGGGGTGTTCAAACGGATTGGTTACCGTGGTAACCATATTAACTAGTAGCATTCAGTTAATTTGGTTTGGTTAATTTGTATAATTGGTTTGGTTTGGTCAAACAATTTAGCTTATTTGGTTTAAGTGGTTTGGTTTAGTTTCAACACTGCTAACCAATGAAACCAATTAACCAATTAATGATACACCTAATATACAAAATTATTTATACTTCCATGCAACCAACCAAACCAAACTTTCATGATTCCCTATTTTATTTCCATGTGCACAACAAACCAAAGCATTATGGGTCAAAAATTAAATGGGTCTGCATATTTACTAAACCAAAACATTTTGGACAACTACTAGACTTTAGGATTACGTACAATACCATGACAACCACTTTAAACTATGTATAGTTTAAGTGTTTTGCATGAGAGCTTTAACTTCTTGATGAGTGGTATTGATATGTAGTTTATATTAATGTTAAGGGTTTGTTGTAAGCTAACTATATTAGGTGGAGAGATGATGAATGATGTATTAACTCGAATGATAATGATAATTATAGGTTAGTCTTATTATTATTTTACTTATATATAATGATAGTTTATGATAGTAATAACATATGGTTATATTTTATTCATTAACAAGATAATTGTTTTCATATAATGTTATGTTATTTGGTTAATTCGATTATCCGATTAACCAAACCAATTAAACTTTGGTTTTCGTGTTAATTTGGATGGTTTGGTTAAGGCATTTTATTTCATAGTTAATAAAATTTAGGCTTAATTAGTCTGGTTATTACCACGGTAACCACTTGAACACCCCTATAGGTGGGGTTAAATTGTAATATAGCCCAAAAATACATCAGGTGCGTGCGACCCACGTGCCAGACTTCACGTCAAGTCAGGTCGAGCTTATATTGGAAACCCGAGGGTAAAATACCTTGGGTACCACTTAAGTTTGAGAGTTGGGGCAGACATATCATTTAAATTTGAATAGGGCGTCGGGTACCACTAAACTCTATTATTTATGCACCCGGTACCACTTAAGTTTAATGTTAGGTGCATTCCGTTAAAGTTAACAGAATATTCTGTTTTCTAAATTTCTTAATTGGTCCTTCTACTTTTCTTATTGTAAAAAATCATTTTTGACTTATGAAAAACATCAATTTTTATTATTTATTTGGTATCCTCTTTTGAAGATTTGATACCAAATTAATTTTTAAATAGAAAATTTAGAATCAACTATCATTATAAGTATTTTCAATTATCATTATGTTTTCTAATAATTGAATTATTCTTTAAAGCAAATATATCCTATGAATTCTGTTTACTTGGAATCCTCTTTTGAAGACTTTGTTATCAAATCAATTTTTGAATATGAAATGTGGAATCAATTATCATTATAAGTATTTTCAATTACCATTATATGTTATAATAATTGAATAATTTGCTGAAGCAAATATATCCTATGAATTCTATATCGATATAAATAATTTGAGGATGTTATATTTAATTCTCGTACATCATGTTGATGTTGTATAATTTTCTATGTTAAATATCCTTGTAATTTTCTAATATTTTATTTTAGATGTTCCATATTAATTAAATTTACTAATTCTAATTCTCTTCCTATAGTCGTATTTTCTTTTCTAGATTTGTTACGGAATGTTATAGATTTTATTTATTTATTACTTGGTTACTTCCGTTCTCTTTTAGTTATAAATTTTCTTCAATTACTGGAATATGTTTAATTCTTTCTGACTGTGTTTCATTTATCCTTCTTTGGTCTTGATGTATTAATGATCGATTAGGTTCTATTTTAACTATTTTTAATAGTACTTCTAATTGAATTAACGATTTAAATAGATCTTCTAATATTGATTTTAATTATTTATGATTATATTCTATATATTTATTCTTCTTCTTTATATTTGTTTATTATTTTTACTAATTTATCTATTTTATTGATAATTTTGATTAGTCACTTTAGAAATATTATATTTAGAAGGTTTTTAATTTCGATATTAGATAAAAACTTGTTGAAATATAGTTTTGAATGTTTTTAAAAGTTTTGGATAGCAAAAAGTAATTGAAATTTTGGATTGAATGGAAAACTAGACGGATGCACATTTTGTCGACTTTAATGGTACCCAATTCTCTATTCAAACTTAAGTAGTATATCTACCCTAATTCTCAAACTTAAATGGTAGCCAATGTATTTTGCCGGAAACCCGCTTTGCATCGAAACTTGGGCCGATAATCTATCATACATTTACGGGCACAGCCTATCTTCGACTGGTGATCTCGCCTGAAAGTCGTGTGCTGCAGCAGCGATCGCCGCCGCCATTCCTCGGAAAGCGTCAGCAAATTATGGGAAACCTAAATCGTTCTCTTGCTCTATCTGCGTTTCTGCTTCTACTTCTCGTTTCGCCGACTCAACCCGAAGTTATTACCCTAACCCCTGAGACCTTCTCCGACAAGGTACATCCACCGTCTTCCCCTAATTGAAAGACAATTTCAATTTACGATTTGCATCCTTCTACGAACTAGGGTTCATCTTCTTTCATCAGATTGACTGAACTAGATATGTTTGGCATCTGTTTATCCCTAAAGGCGAGAACTTTTGCGTCTTTCTGCGAGATGAGTTTCACTTAATCATAAGCTTGCCCGTTTATTGCTGCAACTAGGGTTTTGATTGCTGACATATAACTGTTTCTGGATAGGATTTTTAAATGAGGAAGTAAAAAGCCTGGTCTGTGTTTGGCGTTAGTACTGCCTGTTTTGGCTTGGAATACGTTTTAACAAGTTATCTATAGTTTCCTTATCGTCCGGAATCATATTGCTTTAGTACAAAAAGGCATGAAGCTTGGATCAAAAGCCAGATTACTACTTGTAACAATCTCAGCTTATTTGTGATTTTAGTTAAAATTCAGATAAGCGAAGTTCAGTGCAGTTCTCTTTGATATCAGAAGTCTGAAATGCATCTACTAGTTTATTTTTATCTAACATGCATCTACTAGTTTTGATATTGAGAAATGAAACACTACGTTCGTTTAGTTTATTATGGGACAGTAGTTTTTGTTGCTGCAAAGCAAAGAAGTAACTTTGGGCTTCAACGATGACCGTACAGGTTAGTGATTGTTCATTCATTTTTTATTTTATTTTTGTGTCTCTCAGGTGAAGGAGAAAGACACTGCGTGGTTTGTCAAGTTTTGTGTTCCTTGGTGCAAACATTGGTAAGTAGATGAGTAATAGCATTCACTAGTCTAGGTCAAGTCCTTGATGTGTTTACATAAATAAATCCTGTTGTGGGTTCAGCAAGAATCTGGGCACACTATGGGAAGACTTAGGGAAGGCAATGGAAGGCCAAGATGAGATAGAGGTTGGCGAAGTTGATTGTGGAGCAAGTAAATCAGTGTGCTCGAAAGTGGACATCCACTCATACCCAACATTTAAGGTCTTCTATGAAGGAGAAGAAGTTGCTAAATACCAAGGTATAACTAAAATCTGAAGCAATTTGATGAAAATTGTGTGGCAGATCATTATTTTCTGCATTGGAGGGTTATAATTTGTAAGTTGGAGTTCCCTACTAACATTTTGTTGGCCTGTGCAAAATTTCTGCGTTCCTTTTTCATTTGGAGCATGTCATAGAGCAGCTGTTCCAATATTTGTGTGGCATGATTCAGCTATTCATCAGGCAGATTAAAGAAATATGTGATATATATTGTTCATTCTAGATTTCGTACATCCATTATGTTCAACATATAGAGCAGCTTTGTTTTAAGTGCTCATTGGTAGAGCTCTGTTTTTTTTCTAGGGGAGCTTATTGGTAGAAGTCTTATATGAATGCGATGGATGGACATGTAAAGTGTAAATATACGACATTGGCTGGGTAAATGGCTGTATGCACTATGCAGAAATATCATAGGGTGGTAACAATAGTCAAAATTGATCAGTATAGCTTTAGTAAGAAGATATTATAGGATATCCTAGGCTATTATAGGGCAAGGGAATGGATTTTCTATTGGTAGTGCAGAATCTCCATAGGAATGTCTCATGCTGTGTTCGAGCCTACTTCAACATAGGTAAATGAAGTATGTGGGGAAAACCGGTCTCTGTTTGAAGTTAAGCAGTAAACTTATATGAATTGTCCTTGTAGAGCTTTCTGCAATGATTCATAAGGGAGGGGGCTGGTTTGGATAAGTGTTGGCATCCATTTCAAAACAATGGGAAATCTCTGATTTGTGCTGTGTAAAAAGGGAAAGACATGTCTTGGAGCATTAACCTATTGCTGCAAATTGTTTTTGCCCTCCACTCGTGAAGATTTTGCTCGGTATTGTGTCTGTGCTGTCGCACTCCAGCTAGGACATATGTTTACAAGTTTATAATCCAATCAAAACATTACAAATACTTGAACAGCCGAGCGTAAGGATATAGACAGTCACTGTGTAGGACTGTTTCCTGTGTTGACTTTGTACTTTGAATAAAATGCAGGGAAAAGGGATGTAGATTCGCTCAAAGCGTTTGTTTTGGAAGAAGCAGAGAAGGCTGAGAAGGCTGCAGCGGAAAAAGAGAATGACAGTGACATTGACAAAGAGTTGTAATTTTCCCGGAAGAGTGTGGTAGAGGCCTTATTACTCACCAGTCGTCACCCATTGGACAGGGTGGTCCAGTGTAACTTCTTGCACTACCAGAAATTATAGAATTGATAGGAGTTTTTTGGCCGAAATCTCAGAGCAGGGTTGAAACTTGAAACACAAGGAGAGCAAAATCTTTCAGCTTTGCTTGCATCATATTGGATCCTAAGTATCTCCCTGTTAGCCATTCTACATTCGTTCGAATGGTACATCCAGTTTTCCAGGGGGGAAGTCAATCAGTACTATCTACTACTCGATCATACACAACCTAGCTCTTGAACTCTGAATCCTTCTAACAGTGGCTATTGCAATCATATCGTCAGCAGACAAGCAAAGCTCATACTAGATGGTGGCAAATCACTGCTGTGCTTTTTCAGAGTACAATGCAGATTGGAAGGGTCACTGGGTCAGTTCGGTCGATTTCCTTGGTTAAAGAAAGCATTGCCAGTTAGGCAGTTACGATGTATGAGTATGACAATGCAACCAAAGTAACTGCTGTAAAGGTCGTACTGATACGCACGGGAGATTTTCAAAACACGAAAATTTCTAGCCCGGATATGAACTATTCGTTGCAAAAAAAGGGCAAAACTGTTGAGCCACTCGCTCTCAAGGGCAGATCGAGAGAGCACCTCTGACAGGGAAATTGAAAAACATTACTAAACAAACAGCCACTACATCCTACTACAGCCACACCATGTTCCAAGAATAAATTCTAACAAAGGGCACCCAGCATAAAAACCCAACGACAATGTCCACTTTGACAAAAGTAAATAAAACCCTGCCTCACTTCTTCTTGGCGGCAGCCTTGGTGACCTTCGCACCAGTAGGATCCTTCTTCTCCACGGCCTTTATGACACCCACCGCAACAGTCTGCCTCATGTCCCTCACGGCAAATCTACCGAGAGGTGGGTACTCGGAGAAGGTCTCCACCACCATAGGCTTGGTCGGAATCATCTTCACGAACCCAGCATCACCATTCTTCAAGAACTTGGGCTCCTTCTCAATCTCCTTGCCAGATCGCCTGTCAATCTTGGTTGTGATCTCAGAGAACTTCACAGCAATATGGGAAGTGTGGCAGTCAAGCACTGGGGCATAACCGTTCCCAATCTGGCCAGGGTGGTTCATGATGATGACCTGGGAGGTGAAGTTAGCAGCCTCCTTTGCAGGGTCATCCTTGGAGTTCGAGGCAACAAACCCACGCTTGAGATCCTTGACAGCAACATTCTTCACGTTGAACCCAACATTGTCACCAGGGAGAGCCTCCTGGAGAGCTTCATGGTGCATCTCAACTGACTTCACCTCAGTTGTCAGTCCAGTGGGACCAAAGGTAACAACCATACCAGGCTTGATGACACCTGTTTCCACACGGCCCACTGGCACAGTTCCAATACCACCAATCTTGTACACATCCTGAAGTGGGAGACGGAGGGGCTTGTCCGAGGGCCTCTTGGGCTCATTGATGTTGTCAAGAGCATCGAGAAGGGTTGGGCCCTTGTACCAGTCCAGATTGGTTGACCTCTCAATCATGTTGTCTCCCTCAAATCCAGAGATGGGAACGAACGGGACCTTGTCTGGGTTGTAACCAACCTTCTTCAAGTAGGATGAAACTTCCTTCACAATTTCATCATACCTAGCCTTGGAGTACTTGGGGGTGGTGGCATCCATCTGTTGTACACAAGGACAAAAATCAGTCCTCGTTCAATCAAGCAAGCATACCATCAAACTAAATGGAACCACTATCAATACATATCAACAAACAGAAGAGAAGACAGTGACCTTGTTACAGCAGCAGATCATCTGCTTGACACCAAGGGTGAAAGCAAGGAGAGCATGCTCACGGGTCTGACCATCCTTGGAAATACCAGCCTCAAAACCACCAGTGGTAGAGTCAATGATGAGGACAGCACAATCAGCCTGGGAGGTACCAGTAATCATGTTCTTGATGAAATCACGATGTCCAGGGGCATCAATGACTGTGCAGTAGTACTTGGTTGTCTCGAACTTCCACAGGGCAATATCAATGGTGATACCACGCTCACGCTCGGCCTTCAGCTTGTCAAGCACCCAGGCGTACTTGAATGATCTCTTGTTCATCTCAGCAGCTTCCTTCTCGAACCTCTCAATCACACGCTTGTCAATACCTCCAAGCTTGTAGATCAAGTGGCCGGTGGTGGTTGACTTCCCAGAGTCGACATGGCCAATGACCACAATGTTGATGTGAACCTTTTCTTTACCCATTCTGAACTTAAGAACAACTGCAGGAAGAATGCAACTTAACATCAGCACAAAATTACGAGCACTATGATTCTCACGAATAAAACGATAGAATCCAACGCAACAAGGCACCACGTCAATATGAAAACACAAACACCACCATATCTGAAGACGTAAACAAGTCAATTGACAAGTTTATGATCCATACATAGGTGGAATTGTGATTATCAGCAAGCCTTGGTTTAATACAGGGAATATATTCACGCAGGCAGATGGACATAACGAAACCAAACAACGGACTACAAGAACGAGACAGTGATAGGAAGTGATAGCGCAAAGACTCCGATTAAGGGACGATCTAAAGCACAAACAAAGCTTCGCTAAGCACGCAAGCAAGAGAACATATAGATGCCATAATTGCTCATGCATAGAGAACAAAGGCGTGGAGTAGATCGTAAGAAAAGGGGGAATGAAGTGTAAAGGGAGATCGGAGACTTACAGCAGATGAAGAAGTTGTCTTTCTCTCGCCGGCGTTGACGAGAGGGCGATTGTTGACGCGAATTCCCGAGACGACGAGCAGCTGGATTTGTGTGGCGACGGAGGGGACAGACACGGATGAGAGAAACGCGCGGCTTTTAAAGAGTGGCAGATGGTAGCCGGGGCCAACAGAGTTAGGGTTTATTGGTAGCCGTAGGATTGTTGGGAGATCGAAGGGATCCGATGTCGTCTATTTGACCGTCGGGTACGGGGATTGGCAGATGGTGCCGGTCCGTTCCGTAAGCTGGGGTCAGCCTTTAACCGGCTAGGGACCGAATGTGGTGTCATAGACTCATAGTAGCTATGGTGTGGTGTGCATGGGTCGGTTGGGTATAGGGATGGCAACAAAACCCGAACCCACGGGTACCCATCCGATCCAACCCGGTCAATGCGGGTAAAATCCGTGTTGACGGGTTTTGGGTCGGGTTTGGGTTTAAACCCGTTCACTATTCACCGGGTTAGGTTGGGTTTGGGTTTAGGTAAACCCGGCCCGTGGGTACCCGCCCACCCATATAATTAATTTTTTCCGTATATTTAATATTCTAAATAACTAATCTTATTTATGTTTGTGGAGACATGTCTAATTTTTTCTTTTTAATTGTGTAGAATGAAGTTGATGTTATGGAGTGGAGAGTAAAGAAACTTAATTGAAAGGAAGAAGCTTTCAATTAAACATGTTATTTATGGATAATTTGTGATTTGCTTCAATTTTCTTGAGTTTTCTAGATTGGTGTTGAACAATTTGTATAGTTAATTTGTAATTTGCTTGAATTTTCTAGAATGGTGTTTTATATATGGATAAGTTGTATTGAGAAATTGATATTTGACTTTAATTTTGATAAGAACTTGCAATTGTAAAATTTTTACGACAAAACCCGCGGGTACCCATGAACCCGCGGATACCCAAGGGTTGGGTTGGGTTTGAGTTTTTCAAACCCAGTGGGTTTTACCCCGGATTTTTTTCAAAGATAAACCCATGGGTTTGGGTTTGGGTTTGGCAAAACCCAACCCAACCCGACCCATTGCCATCCCTATTCATTTATTCTGTATATAAACTCTTCCTCTCTTTGAACTAATCCTCTCCAATTGCTTAGGTTAACACCATATTTAAGTTTGAACTTTGCATCAAAAGTTAACTTTGACATGGACTTTTAACTACGAAGTCGAGGCCATCAAGAGAATACCAACTACCATCTAGGCGATGACAATAGGTCCCTGAGGCGGTAGGAGCTAGCATCTGACAAGGTAACGGTTGTCAAAACGAGGTGAGTGGTTCCTGAGACGGTTGGAGCAACTGGCCAACTAACAGTTAACAGGACAGTACATCTATTGACTATAAATAAGAGAAATGAAGATTGTAAAGGGTTCAATATTTGACACCACATGTCAAATTTTATCATTTCTATTTCTATGCGATGTAGTTGTAATTGTAGCTTTTACTTTTTGGAAAACTGCAAAAGGAAGAAAACGAGAGGATGTTGTGGCTGTCTTGCTTGTTGCCGCTGAATGCGCGCAGAACTGCCATTCTTAGGGGGTAAACAAATGAGTTCGGATAACGAATTGCAGATGACATTTCTCTGCTAATACATGTTTCCTTTGTGGAATGTATTAGAATAGTTGCCTACTCCGAACTTTTGCTCCCACTGTCATTTCTCTGCTAATACATGTTTATGTAGTGGGTTTGAGATGTAATTGTCTTTAGCTAAAATGTCATGTGATTTTAGGGACATGTTTTGAAATGAATGCTTGTAAGTATATAGAGATTGAATTTATGTTTTTTTATCATATCGTATTCTTATTATTCCCCGCTTTTTATTATTCCCCGCAAGAGCATGTTGATGTTATTGTAAAGATATGTAATGTGATGTCATTTTCTGTTGGTTTTAAGCAAGTAATTAATGTCATTAAGCCAAGTTGTTTGGTTTTATTTTTGCAGGTGTCGATGGTAAGCTGCTGCTGGTGTTTTGTTGGATGGTCCAATTTGGGCTCGTAATGTATTGCTCTGCTGGTTTTGTGGTGGGTTTTTTTTTAGCAAGTTTACTATCTTCAATATATGTAATGTTTGTGGTTGATTGAGGGGATATGTAATTACAATAAGAGCTGAGAGTTTCTTCCTCTAATTATAGGTGAATTGATGTGCTTTTTATTGTGAAATTGATTGTTACTTGAGAAACGTTTACAAATGCTTCTTGTTTCCAATTACAATTTGTGAAATAAAACCAAGTGTTGAGGGTAATATGATATTTCAACACTTTATGTTACCAAATACCACATGTAAATAGGGGTGGAGGGCAGTCGGTTCGGTTATAACCGAAACCGAAGGGTCTCTTATTGGTTAACCGAACCATCTCCCAGCTCTACCGACCACCGACCGAAAGAGGGCTTAAGGTTTCGGTTATCTCAATTTTCGGTTAACCGAACCGCCTCCCAAGACCAAAATCATCTCGCCCAGCCTCCGAATACCGACCAACTTTCGGTTATCTCGGTTTTTGGTTAACCGAACTGCCTCCCAAGACCAGAACCATCTCGCCCATCCTCCGAACACCGACCGACTTTTTGTTATCTCAGTTTTTTGGTTAGTGGATAATCGGCCGGTTTCAGTTGTAACCGGTCGGTTAACCGCTAAACGATTGTCCAGCCCTACATGTAAATAACTCATGCGTTTTGGTTCATCCAAACATGATAATTTAACTTTCAATTTTTCTAAATACCATAAAAATACCACAAACCTAAAAAATGAGTTATTTGTCTCTACAAATATCATATTGCCAATTAATCCATCTAAACGACCCCTATAATAATTTAACTTAGTTTTCTCAGCCAGATATCAAACGCTCTTATTCAAACTTTGTTTGAACATATGTAAACCGTATTATTAATCATTCTGGAAAGAATTCAGATGCAATCCATTGAATATCAACAAGTTGTTCTACCCGGAAAATAAAGGGGTTATAAATGGCTACCAGGACAGTTTCTTTAACCCTGCAACAGGTGGGGCTACGAACAAAGAACAAAAAAAGTAGAGCTCCAAAATTGGAAGAAGAACAAGACAAACTTAAGATAATTTCTCCCTCCGATTCTCTCCGGTGAGGAAATCCAACAAGTGATACAGTCACTGTCTCTGAAATAGAGAACTTGGAAATTCCAAAGAATCCCACCATATAAAATGAAACGAGTCAAGTTCAAGGTCTCTGTTTTGCTTTTTCCACACCCACTTGATTTTGTTAATGCGCCACAAAGAACCATCTTCTACCCAAAAAAATATTCAGAGCCTCAATATGACCCAGTCAGTCTTCCATCTTGCTATAAAACAAATCCCCTGCCTAATTCCCCAAACTCACCCAAAACCCACTCTGCTGACAATGCCTCCACCCACTCTTACCATCACTCCCAAACTCCTCCTCTCTGTTTTCCTCGTCGGAGCTCTGGCCTCCGCCGTGGTAGCTCAAGACTGCGGCTGCGTATCCGACGAGTGCTGCAGCAAATGGGGCTACTGTGGAACCAGCCCCGACCACTGCGGCTCAGGCTGCCAAAGCGGCCCCTGCAACAGAAACGACATTCAGGTTGCCGACATCGTCACCCCTGAATTCTTCAACGGCATCATCGACCAGTCCGACGGCGACTGCGCAGGGAGGAGCTTCTACTCTCGCGACGCCTTCTTGCGCGCACTCGGGTCCTACCAAGGTTTCGCCCGGCTCGGATCCGACGACGACTCCAGGCGCGAAATCGCTGCCTTCTTTGCCCACGCCACCCACGAAACAGGAAGCAAGTTTTTTCCCCCCTTCTTCTTTTTAACTCTGTTTTGAGTCCTTTGGCAGAGTCTTTCACTCTGTCACCTAACTATGCTGACGATAATTGTACTTTTGCAGACTTCTGTTACACAGAGGAGATTGATGGGCCATCCAAGGACTACTGCGAGGAGGAGAATACCCAGTTTCCTTGCAATCCAAGCAAGGGTTACTACGGCCGGGGTCCGCTCCAGCTGTCCTGGAACTTCAACTACGGCCCCGCCAGAGAGCAGATCGGATTCGACGGACTCAACTCCCCTGAAACGGTGGCGAATGATCCAGAAGTATCATTCAAGACGGCTCTGTGGTTCTGGACCAACAACGTCCAGCCGGTGATGGACCAGGGATTTGGGGCCACCACCAGGGCCATCAATGGCGATTTGGAGTGCGACGGAAGTAATTCCGCCACCGTGCAACGCCGTGCCGATTTTTACACCGAGTATTGCCGCCAACTCGGTGTTGCTCCTGGGGACAATCTCACATGTTGATAATAAAAAATGGTACTATATGTCCGTTTGCAGCTGGATTAAGATACCGGTTAGCGACGGTTTAAATAATTGTTGCCAATAATCTCACAATTGCCTCACTGATAAAACCGGAAATTGGAAAACTGAATTTCATTTCCCCAACGCTAAGCCTGTCTTTCTACATGTTATTTCTAAGAGCAAGCTACAACTACCTCTCCAGCCACCTTTGCCTTTAGTTTACATTCAGAATCAGTGCATGCATGCAGGCTGCAGCAATGCATGTCAATCAAATCGAATATCAATCAAATCGAATATCACTATGCAATGCTAACACTTAAACCACAGCTAGTTAGAGATGCTCTAACCTAATCCTTGTTCCCGTGATTGGAGAAGAACCCTAATCGGTGCCTGTAGGGGGATCAAATACTCGTTACTGCATTGCTGCTTTCCCCGATTTGTGATCCAGAGACATCATGATGGGGATTGAATCTCGCATTTGCAGAACCGCCATGATCCATCGTCTTGCCTCTTCAATGCATACCGAATTTTATACTTGCTGCAAAGAACTTTAATCATTAGATCAAATTTGATAATCCACCACTGCTCAATCCAGTCACTTGGTCTTTTTTTTTTTTTTGTTTGGACAAAATTCAGTCACTTAGTCTCTACCTATTCCGATGAACAATCAGATCACGGCACTATATTTTACCTGTGATAGTTTGGGTTCTTCTTCTGCTGAGATTCGTCAACAAGCTCAGCTGCTTCCTCGAGAAGAGCTTCGATTTCTGCCGTCTCCATCCCAAATCCATCAGAAACAACATCAGCTTTTACAATGGACAGGTCTAGCAAAAGAAATCTCCAATAGCATGACTCGGAGTGAGCTGCATCAGCCAATTCTTGCCACTGCAAATCGGAACAATATAAGTTAGTGATACCCGACTGGTGATTGCAAAATCAATAACAATGGAAGCTATTCAGTTCCAATATTTTGCATGTGTTGCAACAAATGTACTATCACAGTTTGATTGACCTGATCAAGCATTGACTCGGCAAGTAGTTCAGATAGGCTCTGGATTTGATGTTCGGGACCCAAAGCTTCAGCTTTAACAGTTTGCCATTGCCTAATCAGAGCTTCAGCTTCTTCAACTGGCATCTGCTTCCTTGACACTGCTCTTGTAGAAGACTTTCTGCTAGTGGTCAGCCCCAAATTCTGTGATATACTATGTCGTGGCAGTGTGTCGAATTTTGTTTTGACAGTTGCTGATAGCTTTTTCATTCTGTCACCGATACCACTTCCTCCAATGGTATCATGAGAAAAATCCATGGTGCCACTATGGAAAGTGGTATCAGCAATATGCTTATTGAAAGCAAACGTAGGAGACCTTAGACTCCTGTAAGACAACTTGGAGGTGATAAAAGTCATGCACCCTAATACTACAACAAATATGAACTTTCCAACCACATTCCCGTACGACGACCAACTTTCCCAATTTCCATTATCCCGCATGTCCAAATTTCTTTTCAGCTGAACAGGTGGTTGGTCCTCACTGGCTCGATCATCACTCTTGTCAGACATCAATGAGGTCTGCAAATCCACAAGAGCCAACTTCTTCACAGCTGATCCAAGGTGTTGAGAAGAGGTCTTCAATGAGAGAGACCCCCCACCATGATTGATTCGTTCTGATGCAAAATCTGAGAAAGGCCTTTGACCAGTAACCCGTTTGGTTGAAAGTGAAGGAAATTTGCTTCCACCAGAGAAAAAGTCTACCTGGAAGGCCAAAAGTTAGCCAACAATCCTCTTTTATTATTCTTCCAATTAGTTGATCGGTTATGGTAGTACTCACGAGTGATGGTGAACAATCTCTTGTATCTGAAAACGCAGCAAGCACAGAGTCCTTCAGCCATGTTTCCTGATCAAGTTCAGCAGGATTTCTGACATAAGAAAGTAAATAAATTGCTCAAATAAGGCATCAAGAAGAAAAAAAAATGCTTTTGCAGAACTGTGACCTAATTCTATCTTCTAGTGCATAATTTAAAAGTATGACGCAAGCACACATGAATGCTCAACTCATCCATCAATTCAAGGATGCAACGCTAGTACGCTACCAAAAACGAGATGATGACTGCAATGAGGTTAAGTCAATTTTCTAAATAAATCCTCAAAGAGCTGAAGTCTTCATAAAGCACTTGAAAGTATCCACTTCAGCCCTTCCCCTAGAACTCCAACCAATGGAACTTCTGAACTACCTAGCATACAGTGATAGGCCTACATAGAATCTGAAAGTGTCTTAGCCGAAGCTGGCACTTAAAAAACATTCATCTTCTAGATTTTGATGAGGCAAACCTATTGAAACAAACCTTTGGTTCAAAGTTCAAACTAAGGTGAGCTTCGATATGTTATAGAAAAGAAACCCTCAGGTTGATGAAGAGATAAAGAGTACATAAATTTAAACTATAAGAAAGACATACCACAGGCGACTTGACAGAGGTTGCGACGTACTTATCCTTCCCAGAGATCAAAATTTGTGGTGCGGGGTTCACATTCGACTCCACCTGTTGAAGCTTTTCAATAACCTGGGCCTCATTGTCCTGACAATTATGATTGCACATATCAGGAGTCATAAAAAGACAGGGATGAGCAAACAAGGAAAAGAAACTGAAACGGTCAGAAGATCCTACAAAATGTGAGAATGCTGTTTAACAGAACAGTGTAGCAAAATGTGGAAACAAATTGAAACATACCTGCCCCAAAAGAAACAAGCAAAATGCTTCCTCCAATTTTAGATCAATACCTTCCGATGCTATCAGAGTGCCACATATATCTTTTGCTCTGTTGATCTAAAGGACAGGATCAAGGTCAACACAGAAGAAAAATAAAACTTAGCAAGGCTACATTAGATGAAATAAAATGTTTCTACCAATTTTGTCTGCTTGCTAGAGAAACCCAGAGCAATATGAGCTATCAATGCCACATAGAAACAATTGAAGTCAATAACAGCCCTCTGAGTATGTGATTCAAGTGATTTCTTGTTTCTCCGAATAAGGGCTAAATCATCCCAAGGAAGAAGATCGACTATTTCAGTGGCCACGAGCCGATTAAGTGCTTGAATGAGAAAGCAAGGCCAGCCTTGGACTCTACATGACATTTCCGCATCAAGTCCTTGTCTGAGTAATTCACGCAAAGCTGCTATTGCTCCTCGTCGCTTTTCAGGATTTTCAGGAGAATGAGGCATGCTTAATATCTCCAGTGTGCAAGCAGGTGCCAGCTCCTCCATAGATTCTTCTATCTGAAAATAGAAGACAAAAACCTTTACAAAGAACGGGAAGAAGAAATGTCTCTAAGAACTGGAGAGCCTAACTTTCATCGCCATTTATGTCATCCTTCAGTACAAGTTGGCTTCCAAATGCATAACATAGAGCTAGACATCAAAGAAGTAAAGGTTATAGAGTAAGCCTTACCTGGGCCAGCAAAGCCATCTTCCCAAGGGAGATCTTACTCCTAAGAAGACTCTGAGCACGGGCTAGAGCTTCAAATCCAAGGGATGTCTTATTGTTCTCAAAACTAATTTTTGCAATTTCACACTGTAAAAAAAAAAGGCGCAGTCATAAGAAAAATTGTCCTAACAAAGTTCTGCTGGTTAACAATGAATCTATCAGTTCAGTACTTACTTCTGCCAGTGCCATTGATAGAAGTATGTCATGGATATAAGGCTTAGCATCTGGCTTCTGGATAGCCTTTCTGCCAATATCAAGCACTAACTTCTCTTCACCAACCTGTAAATGACATATATACCAACAGATTTACAGCTGGAGCCAAGTTGTTTGACAACAATGCAATTCCATGAATTGATTAAGAACGTATATAGCAGTTATTCTGGAAGACGGTGGGAACTAGGATACCAGAAAAATTGGGAATTTCTAATCTTCAGACAATAGTACAGGAGATATAAGTTATACCTCTTGAAGAAGGCAAAGAGCACCAGGCAACCAGGTCCATGGAATGTATAGAGAAGACTTGGGGGGAATCTTATCTCTCACGTTTCCAGCATATTCAGGTTCAAAAAGAACCTTGTCCCTCACATCCATCAAAAGATCCTGCATACATAACAGAATACAAGGGAAATTAGGAAGCCCACAACTGTCCTCCACTGCGAATGCGACTTTTGAACAAAAAAGGAAAATAATATTTATAAAAATAAAAAATTACTGAGGAACATCCACCTTGCGAGACATGATGGCATCCATTGTATATCCATCTTCTACCTCAGCGCTTTTCAATTGGATCACTGACTTCACTACCTCGTCTTTCTCTGCTTGATCACGAAGACCAACTAGCTGCAGATTACCAATTATCTAAAGGTTAGTAGCCAACCAACAAGCTAGCTGATACCAAAGTAACAAGAGCTACAAGCACTTATAGAAGTTAATTATAGATGTGATTCTGCAAACGCATTGGTCACATACATCTAGAATCCTTTTGACTTTAATTATTCCTTCTGCCCTTTCATTCTGATCGGCGGCAAAGCCTTCAATTGAGCTGCTTTGAATCCAAATCAAATCATTTCTACAGCATTTTAGATGATGCATAATGTCTGAAATACCAGAAATTTCTCCCAATTGATTCCCACAACAGAGCTAGACATAGGTACATGAATTCAAATTCTATTTCGAAATGACCACTTCGTCGAAATCACTCTCTCGCTTCACTGCAATGCTAAAAATGTAAACCAAACCGGCCGGAAATCAGAGAGAGAAACAACCTGATAGCAGGTGACGTTGATTTCCACGGTGGCGGCGGCCGGAACGGTGGCGTTATCTAGGACGCAAGTTGGAGTGGCAGCGTTCAGTATCCACGGCGAGACAGTAACAAGTCTCTTTCTCAAACCCGTCGAAATGGAACCAGAGAGGAAACCCACAAGCCCGGCAGGGAAGGAAATCACCGGGCAGCGAGCAAAGCCCACGAGAAGGGAATGCTTCGGGGGTGCATTGCCACGCGGAAGTTGAAAATGTTGACACCGGCAGCAGCAGCAAGAAGTGGGGGGAGGAATTTGCGTCAGATTGAAGTGTGGCAGCGCCATTTGTCAAATTGCCGGAAACCCTACCTCCATTGCAGATGAAAGAGGAAGGTTGTGTGTGCGCGAGAGAGCGCCTTTTTGGATGGAACCTATGAGTAAGGAAATCTGGAAATGGTAATTATGTGTGCGAGAGAGATGACTGAGGTAGCGAGGTGAGAATGCTTTATTCCGGCGGGTGGACCGCTTTACGTGCCGTTGATTCTTCCGTCTTTCGATTTGCGTTTCGAAACGACACGTAAGAAGCAAAAGAAATATACTGAGAAATAGCATGGCCCAAGTTTTGGAATATTACCACGCTAGTTTTGGTGATTGTTTGATTGAATAGTTATAATACATGTATTGTTAACAATGCCTTTTTTTTAATTTTTTTTACAAACAATACATGCATTGTTTGATTGATGTAACACAAACTATCGCTCAAAATGAGTAATAGTTAAATCTCAAGTTTTTTGTAATATTATTGAGATTGTTTGGTGGAGATTGTTGTGTTATTTTTATTCCAACTATATCCCTACATTCTCATGTATGTTACTTTTTTTATAGGGTTAATTACATGGTTGGTCACTGAAATTACAAAAAACGTTCCTGTTTGGTCACTCAAAATATTTAAATCAATTCGTGGTTACTAAAATTAGTTCAACTGTACAAGTTTGGTCACTCTCCGTCCAACTCCGTTAATTTTTTCTGATGTGGCAGTGAACTTTTATAGTTAACCGTTAAAAGAGTGACGTGGCAAACAAAAAATTAATAAAAATAAATTTAATTTTTTAAATTTTCTACATCAGTTTCACCGCTATTAAAACTAAAAAAAAACTTAAGATGTGTGATACGTCTCTTCACAGACTCCACCACCTCCTCCTCCTCTCCGTCGCGATCGCTGACGGCGACGAGATTTTCCTCTAGAGTAGCATCCTGGCCCTCCTCTGCTTCCTGGAGTTGCGATTGGGATCCATGCCCGCGGGAGTCGCAAATTGGTGGGTTGATGGGAGTTGAAGGCGGTGCAAGCCAAGCCAATCCACCTGTTTCGCCGCCGGAATTGGCGAGAAAGAGAGAGGAATCGTCGGCGAAGACATCTTCATATTTGGGGCTTTTGCGCCGGCGAGCTCGGAAGAGAAGTGGGACGCTTCTTCTTCCTCTGGTCTCCATCCTCGACGCCATCCCCAGAATCGCAACCCTATCCCCAAAAATCCCAAGCCAACATCAATCATCATTCCCAAAAAAATCGAACGCTTCTTCTTCCTATGTCTCAATCTCAACGATGACTCCCAAATCTTGGATGCAAAAGTATAGACCCACGATAGATCTCGATTCTTGGATGTATGGTCTCATCGGCGACTCCTGATTCAAGGGAAGATCGACGCTGATAAGAGACGGTAGATCCATAACTCAATTTCTAGGCTCCCTCTTCACGAACCCATATTCGCCAACTCTTTGCTGAAACTCCAGCTTCTCGCGAACCAACCACGGCAAGAAAGGAAGAAGATGTTGTGGAGGTGAATGTTGACGACGGCAGTGGACATAGTCGGAGGAGGAAGGTTGGGAGTCGTATTGGTCGGAGGACGAAGGTTGTAGGGGTGGGCAACGGGACCGGACGGGATACTCGTCCCGTTTGAAACGGGTACCCATTCCCGTTTGAAGGACAAAGTCCATCCCATATCCCAAACCCTTAAGGATTGACGGGTACCCGTTACCCGTACAGGACAGATAACGAGTACCCGTTTATTCCCGTTTATACCCGTTTAACCTGGGGGAAAAGAACAATGCATTGTTGTCCATCCGTTTAACCCGGGAAGCCCCTGCACACCCGAGGCAATGAGAAGAAAAACAATTGAAACAAAAAGAAATCTCAATCTAAGAATTGGGCATCGAAAAAGCTAAGGCAAGCGTGGTGGACACCCCTGCCAAAACACTCAATAAACTAGAATGAAAGTAAGCATTCATCCCTGCAGCAACGAAAGGGAAACAACTCAAAAACAAAAAGTTCTTCGATCGCAGCCGAAAAGGGAAGGCACGACGAGAGACACTGAAGAATTCATTAATTCAAGGTTAGGATAAATGGCCAGACTATCAGTATTGTTGTAACGGGTATAACGGGTACATGTATTACCCAAATGAGTATTAGCGGGTAACCCGCGGGTACCTATTGTTGAAATTTACAATCCCAAGTCTCATCCCGCAATAAATAAAACAGGTATTTGGGTACACGAAACCCTAAAAAAAGGGAACGGGTATGAGTATACCCAAATACTCGTTTCCCGTTGCCCACCCCTAGAAGGTTGGGTGTTGCTGGCGGCGGCGACGAGTGAATAGGGAGAAAGAGGCCGCTGCAGAAAATGAATTAGGGATTATTTTTCCCTTAATATGAGATAAGTGAAAAGTAGTTGTGAGGTGAAATTGTTAAATAATTAAAAAAAATATTTTTTATTTTTTAAATGCCATGTCATTTATTTAACGGTCAACTATTAAAGTTGACCGCCACGTAGGAGAAAGTTAACGGAGTTGGACAGAGAGTGACTAATGATGAAACAAAAATGTAAAGTTAGTCACCACGAATGGATTTAAATATTTCGAGTGACCAAACATGAACGTTTTTTATAATCTCAGTGACCAACCATGCAATTAACCCCTTTTTATATAAAAAGCAAAGGGTAAAAGTGACATTTCATCCAAAAAGTAATATAATTTGTTTAAATACTATAATAACTATCACAAAAACCAAACGATGTAAACTACAATACACCAATTTTCTTTTTATACATGCATTGATGACAATCCATCAATTTAACTATCACTAAAACCAAACGAACCCCTCGTTTGGTTTTGGTGATTGTTTGGTGGAGATAGTTACAATGCATGTATTGTTCACAATGCATTGTTTTTTTGAATTTTTGGCACAAACAATACATGCATTGTTTGCTTGATTTGACACAAACTATCACTCAAAATGAGTGATAGTTAAATCTCAAGTTTTTAGTGAGATTGTTTGGTGGAGATTTTGGTGGAGATTGTTGTGTTATTTTTTCTTCCAACTATGTCCCTACCTTTTCATGTATGTTACTTTTTTATATTAAAAGCAAAGGGTAAAAGTGACATTTCATCCAAAAAGTAATATAACTTGTGGAAAGATGTTCTTATGGATAAGTATCGAATCAAGTAGATTTGGGAGCACATTAGATCGAGGGGAGAGTTGAAGACTAGATGCAAGTTACTCTGGGGGCGACTTCAGGTCCCTCGGAACTCTCTAATAGCTTGGCTTGTTCTGATTGATAGAATCAATACCCTTGATAAAATTAGGGGTGTACATGGGTAGGGTGGTCCGGGATTAGCCATTTTAATCACCGGACCAATGCATTACGGTTGGGAAATATTAAACCCAAACCCACTCAAAAAAATTTAAACCCTACGGTTAGTTTCTAATTGGGTTGGGTCGGATTGACGATATTTTTAAGAAAAAACTCAACTCAACACAAAATATGTGATTATTCTACACCATAAAAATATTTTATAACTAATTAAAGTTTCAAACGAATAAACCAAGGTGAAATGTATCAAAATTCACAAGTGTTGTTTGAATTTTAATAAAATGTGATTTACTTCAACATATGTCTAGTTTTTTTCATGATATTTGTTGAAATAGGCTAAAAAGGTTATAAACGAATGCACCCATAATATTTTATTATATTAAAATTGTACACAAGAAAACTGATTACGTGAAATCATAGCTATATTAAATTTATGTCTAAACTTTAAGCCGAATAATGCATTAGATTAGGGAGACCATGAGAGAAAAACATGACAAAATATCTTAATTTTCTCATAAGTATGGCTATATACGACATAAATATTTTTTGGATACGAACTCCTACCATCAGTTGAAACACAGGTTGGGTTGGGTTTTACGGGTTGTGTAATCCAAAATCCAAACCCAACCCAAAAGAGGCGGGTTATAGAAAAGAAAACTCTCACCCAACCCAAAACCTTCGTTTTAGCGATAAACGGGTGGGTTGGGTATGTTTGGACGGGTGAGTCGGTTTACGGGTGTGTTTGTTCACCCCTAGATAAAATCAAGAAGTGGAAGCCTGAAGTTGATGGGATTTGCCCTCTTTGCTTGAATCTACTTGAAAGTCATGATCATATCTTCTCTTAGTGCTGCTATAATCATACTTGCTTGCAATTCTTTCCTACGAACATGGGGTACTGTCCTTCAGGTGGATGGCAGGAAAGTTTGGAGGTTGCTATCAATAAGCTGGGAAAATGTAAGGTTGGTTGTCTGATGTGGTGTTTGATTATTAGCGAATTTTGAAGGGAGCGTTGTTGCCGGTTATATGGCAAGAAGAGTCTCTCTTTTGATGAGTAACTTAAGAAAATGCGGAAGTTCTTGGATGATCTGAATGTGGAAATCCTGAATTTGCAGCAACAGTAGTAGTAAGCCCTTACTTGTAGCATACAGATGTGTATAGCTTTTTAATATGTTAGTCTCTATTTTCTTTTCGAGGCTTAATGGTTTGGTTTTATAGTTTTTCAGGCAAGTTCTGATCTGTATAGGGTTCTGGTTTTGTGGCTTTACTCTTGATGATTGTATTTGATGAAATAAAATCTCCTTTTTCATAAAAAAAGGTGATGCATCTAACATGCTCATGTTAGCTCAAACTTTTCTCTTTGGGTTCATCTTGAAAATGATGATTAGCGTACTTGCAATCACCGATGAATTTTTTTGTGGCATTGAAAAGAAAAGACCAAGATATAGTGAATGATATGCACTTTATTCATGGAAAAAGTTTAGATTACAAGACATGAGAGATAATGGACGGGGGTCTCTTCTTCATAGTGTTGTTTCTTTTTTACAACAAAGAATGTCTTCATGTTTCTAGAATGGATAATTCATACATTCCTTTTGGAAGACCAAGGATAAAATGCTCAACATGTCACCAATCTACATCATTATCAAGTTGAATTGTTTTATACAGTTTTGGATATGCGATTACAAGAGCTTAAAGTTTGTTATGATGAGGTTAACATTGAATTGCTATATTGTGTGGCTTGTTTAAATCTAGATACTTCATTTGTTGACTTTAACAAAGAGAAGTTGTTGAAGCTTGCTACCTTTTATCCAAATGAGTTCTCTTAACAAGATATTATTACATCTTGATCCTCAACTACATAGTTATATTTATGAGATGAAGAGAGATGACATGCTCACTAAGGTAAAGGGAA